CCTGTATAGGGTTTCCGAGGAGCAGCTGGTGAGCTTGAACCACAGACCTTGCAGTTCAAATGGCTTTGCAGTCTGGTGCATTAACCCACAGCGCCACACCTGGACTCCATAGCAACCCTATAAGGGAATTGTAAATCTGTACAGGACCAGATGGACTCATCTTTCTACTGCAGAGTGGCTGGTGGATCTGAACTGCTGACCTTGCAGTTAATAGTCCAACAGGTAACCCACTACACTCCCAGGGCTGCGTAATTATCTGCATTTGTTGTTGTTAAGTGCCGCCGAGTCTGTTTCAACCCAAAGCGACCCTGTTTAGTGTTTCCAAGGAGAGGCTGGTGAGTTTGAACCGCCAACCTTGCAGTTCAAACCAACTTTGCAATGGAGCGTATTAACACACAGCACCACACCAGGACTCCAATTCTCTACATTTTGTTGTTGTGAAGTACTGTGGAGCCGATTCCAACCCATAGCAACCCTCTATAGAGTTTTCTAGTAGAGCTGGTGAACTTTAACCACCAAATTTAACCACAAACAAGTGACTTTGCAATCTGACGAATTAGTCCACAGCGCCAACCAAAGACTCCAATTCTCTACATCGCCATTATTACATCAAATAATTTTTCTTGTGTGTATTTTGCGTGTTTTGCTTCTATCCCTCTATTTTTGGTGTGGCACTGTGGGTTAATGCAGTGGACTGCAAGGTCGCTTTAAATCACAATGTCAGCGGTTCAAGCTCATCAGTCATTCCTTGGAAACCCTACCCGGGGTCACTATGGCTGGGAACTGACTCCACAGCACTGAACAACAACAACAAACATTTAACATAAAATCCATGAATATGGAGAATTTGTCAATATTCTTCAAAAGAACCAAAACTATATGAAAATGTACACCAGGTTCAGATGACATTGTAGCTGCCTTCTCGACTCCAGAGATAAAGGTTAGGCAAAGGGGGGAGTAAAGGGGTGAGGATGGTTGGAGACTCATTAGCCTGTACAATGTATAGTCTGTGGAAAGACCTAGCAGAGACCCAAAACACATGGCTTCACTGAGAGCATTTGCTAACTTCCAAGGTGCAAACATTTGTACCCTGGTCAGCGCCCACCTGGCATCACTGAATAAATGACTGAGTAATGAGTGCAATCCCATCACACAATACACCAGCGTGGTGTGGAGTAACACAACATTCTGTAGTATTTTCACTATACGGATGCTTTAGATATAAACAACCATCAGAGCACAAGTATTTGTACAATGTTGCTGTTGTTCTTAAATGCTGTAGACTTGGTTCCAACTCATGGCAACCCTGTGTAGGTTTCCTAGGAAAGGCTGATGAGTTTGAACCTCTAGCCTTGTGGTTAGTTGTCCCGTGCTTCTCCTACAGCACCACACCAGGACTCCGATAGTAAAATGGAGTAAAATAATTACTTGATATATTTTGAGAACGGATTATGATTATGTTTAATATATTTACTTTATATATAATGTATTTAGAAAGGTTTTAGAATTTAATATTTTATAATGGCTCTGGTAGCGTAGTGGTTACGAATCGTGCTGCTAATCTCACGGTCAGCAGTTTGAAACTACCAGCTGTTCCGCAGGAGAAAGATGAGGCTTTCTGCTCCTGTAAAGATTTACAGCCTCGGAAACCCTGTACAGGGTCACTATGAGTTGGAA